GTTGCAGTGAGCACGAACGGGCAGATGTCTGCTCCTGGGACTGGGAGTTATGGGGCCTTGTGGTATTTCTACTTCTATCTTTTAAAAGAAGGGCCGTGCCACTTTCCACAGTGGTTCTGCCATTGGACAACCCCTCCAGCGGCATCGAAGAGTTCTGATCTCCCCACAACCGCACCAACATTTGCTTTTTCTGGTTTCCTAATGAGTGTTGTTTTTTGAGGAGATCGGGGGTATGGGGGTGCTGTCCCACTGTCATTTAGATTTGGGTCTCTGATGGTTAATGATCATGAGCATCTCTTCATGTGCTAATTAGCCGCCTGGGTATCTTCTTTGGTGAAGTGTCTGCTCATCTTGCTCATTTTTGATTGGGCAGCTTGCCTTGCTGTTGAAGTATTCACTATCTGTATTTTAGCAGCAATGAGGCCCTCGTCACAAAAATCTGATCCATCTGTGGGTTTTCTTTTTCCGATTTTGAAGCATGCTTGGGTGCTGAGTGGGGATGCTTAGCAGCCGTTCAAGCACTTTCATTCCCTCCAGTGTCTCATTTCCTTCCACGTGGGTATTTCCATTTAGTGTGTCCATGGAGCAGGGGAGTTGGTGATGAGATGCAACCATAGTTCTCACCCCACCTTCCAGCAGATAAATCTCTCTCTTCAAAAATACCAACAATAAATTATGTTAGTCTAGGTTGACTAGAGAAACAAATTCATAGACACTCATATGTAAGAAAGAGTTTTATATACAAGGGCAACTGAATATGGAGAAAACATCCCAATCCCATCCAGATCAAGTCCATCAGTCCGATATTAGCCCACACAACCGATACCAATCTAGAAAGCCCTCTTCAGATTCACGAAACACATGCAATGATGCCAAATGCAGGAAGAGCATAGGCCAGTGGGTGGAAGGTCTTGTGGATCCTGTGGCAGTGGAAGCATCTCCGCGCTGGCAGGGGTCTACACATGGCTCCTCTGGCTCCAGAGCTCTAGCGTATGTAACTCCTTATATCTTGTCAGAAGGAAATGTCTTGTAGGGAATGAGCGAGTGTCCCACCTCCAACAAGCTGTTTATCTCCTTAGCACCTCCAAATGAGGTCATCAAGCTGCGTGTGACCCGATTGACAGACTAAACTCCACCCCCACTCTTAAATCTCAAATTGACAAATTATGTGCCGTATAGTATACTCGTGTATAAGCTGAGTTTTTCAGCACATTTTTTAATGGAGTTTTTGTGGTAAAATTAGGTGCCTCGGCTGATATTCAAGTCAGCTTATACTGGAGTATATACGGTAACTACCACATAAATCGAGGGAGATAATGGTTTTATTTATAGGTATGCTATTATAAATATAGTACTGTAAAAATGACGTGGAAGTGGAATTTGACCGCATCTGGCTTCACAAGGGGGTAGGAGAAACAAACTCAGCATCAGGCCAAGGCCAGTTCCTATGATGCAGAGGTCAGACATGGCTCCACCCTCTTTCTGCCAATTCTGATACCAGCCATCCCTCTCTCAAGGCATTTTGGACTTCTCCGCTGGTTTGATAATCTGTTGCAGTGGCCACACAGAACCCACAGACCATACGCATGGTGATGGGGTCAGCAGGCTACGATTCTGGATCAGACATGTGAGAGGTACAGTTCTTTGGTCAGGAGTGCCTCTTCTCAGCCACACAGCCCTTGGCCTCTGCCCTATTCAATGTTATGGAGCTCTTTTAATGCTGCTAGTGCATTCAATGGACGCTCCACTCGGTAGTAAGCTTCAGCCAGAGGCATTTAGCTTTAACTGTGGGTGTCGGCAATCAGCTCCCTGGACAAATGGCCAGGAGGTGCACCCCAAGTGAGACTCCTGCCCCTCCTGCCTGAAGGCACTCAGCCTCCTTATCCCACTGGCCTCTGATCTTGCTCTTGGTGCTGCTGCTTCCCCTGGCCTCTGCCCTGGCCTCACAGCTCTATGTCATGGACCCAGGAGGCTTAGTGTAGGGGTTTCAGGGTAAAGCATGGGCTCTACTTCTGGCTCTTATTTCCTGGATGGTCGGGAGTTCTCGATTCTGAAGCGGCTCACTTTAAACCTCTTGGGGTGGCAAAACAGATCAGTCTGCATGTTAGGGTTCCATATACCCTGTTTGCATGATCCCACCCCACACCATGCCATGAACTCTATTTACCTCATTAACCAGACATCCAGTCCCCTTGGTGGCCTACAAACACCTCACATTTGCATAGCCCTACCCAGTCATGTGGTGAGAGTTACGAAGACTATCTGGCCATGTAAAGAAAATAAATAAAAGTGATGTCAGCCTGTAGACAGGAGCATGAAGAGTATCCTCAGGGGCCGAATGGAAAGGCAGATGCTGCCAGTGAATAGGAGCTATTTACGGGCAGTCCCGTATGTCTGCATCTCCGTGTGTGAGAGATGTGTGCATGAATGGAAGGGTCTCTGCTCTGGGCAGTGAGGTTTCTGGGGATGTTTGCGCCCCTTCACCATTTGAATTTTCTCCAGTAAGCTTTTATCATCTGTGTAATCAGAAAGAACGTTATTGTAGCCCCCAACCAGAGCTCCAGGTAGTTTCCCGTCTCCAGGCCTCACGTTCCCTCTCGGGGGCACAGTTTGTCCCCCGGGACCTGATCCAGAACACCTTCATGGCCTGGGCACAGCCAGTCACTCTTTCTATGAGCCTTCTTTGAGCTTACTGGGGAAATGAATCCTGACCTTTCCTACTTCCCAATCATCCCTGACTGGAAGAGGCTACAGGGATTGCCTAGTCCCTGAGGACCTGGTGGTCATTGTAAGGGGTCATTTCCTTCCAGCTGTATGCCCAGTAGGCCACTGTTCTCGTCCGGACTGCCTAGCACTTCACGTAGCTTTCTTCGGGGCAGGGGTGGGGGGTGGGGGGTGCGGCGCTGTTGGATCTGCTCAAAGGCATTTGTCAAAGGCGGGATGACGGGTCCAGGTGCAGGGGAAACCCGGATGCAGTGGTTGGTTTCCTCTCTCTCGCCATCTCCAGCACTCCCGCAAGGTGTTCTCTCCCTGGTCTCCTTTCTCCTTGAGCCCACCTGCCCTGGGCGTGACTCCATCCCCAGGAAAGACAACAACTATGGAAGTGTCGGAGCAGATGGAATGCCCCTAGCATTTGGAGCCACCAGACATCATACTATCTAAGAAAATCCATAAAGAATGATAAATATTTTATAGTTATTTATCAACTGAGAAAGTAGATTTAAAAATAAAATAAAAAAGCCTAGCTCGCCTGTTCACATTAACTAGCAATTTTCTGGCTGGTTTGGAGCCAGTGTGCCAAAGGACAAAATTATGGTGTACTCTTGCTCTTTGTAGAGAGAACCATCAGAAACCCGGCCCACCGTTATGTGCAGTTAAGTGCTCTGAAAATCTCCAGAGAGCAGCCAGGCATTTGATGGGTGGGTTTCTTTCTCTCTCTCATCTTTTCTGGAGTTTGGAGGGCAGGGTGGGAAGGAAGGAAGGAAGGAAGTAAGTCAAGGATAACTGTCAGAACCTGCTCGGTTTCCAGTGTGCGATGAACTTTGGCGGAAAGAGTTAACTATAACCATGCATTTGGTTTTAAAATGTGACCTCGTACACTAGTGATTTTTTTTCACCTCTGTGTTGTGTTCGGCACTATTATTAATGCAGGAAAATCAGTAACATTAGTCATCTTAAAAGGGTTATTACTCAAGATGATTTAAATTGTGGAAATGTCAGTGGAGGCTGCACACGGCCTGCTAGAGATGCCATGATTCACGCCTGCTGACACCCTCCTGCTGCCGAGAAGGCCGCCGATGGGCTGTGCTGATCCGCATGCCGACGTGAGAGCAGCGCCCGGCCTTCTGTGACATCCAGTGTTTGCCAAGGTCCCGGGTGCTGGTCGCCGCTGGCCACGAGGTCACAATCTGCATGCTCCCATCTTGCCCAAGCAGGGGGGGCAGGGGGCATTGACCAGAGAGGACAGCTGGAGATGAGCATGAGCACCCAGGAAAAATATTATTTCCGAGATTCCCGGGCTGGTTTTCAGTACACACCCCATGCCATTTATCACGGCGCAGGGGAGGCTTCCAGAAACCACGCCAAGTACAATTCAGAACCGAAAGGTTCGTCAGATTGCGTCCACTTAGATGTCGTCCAAGATTCAATCCCCTGACCCGAATTGTCCATAGTCCATAACTGGCAAGTCACTGTTCTTAAGTGAATGCACGAGGGGGGTGGGAGGGACGCGGCCAGATACAAGTACCGGCCCAAAAATAAAGTGCCCAAAGTGGACAGAATCTACCAGAACAAGCCCCGGGGAGCATAGACAAGCGCTGATGCGGCTTCCCTGCAGACACGAGCTCCCGCGGTACCTGGCTCGCTAAAGGCAGGGGAGGCGTTAGGCGTTTTGCTCAGTGCCCACTGTTTCCCAGACCCTTTGGATTCGGTCCTGCCATTCAACTCCTCTGGTATCAGTTGCCTCTGCTGTGGGCAGCCAGTCCACACCCTCAAATTTCTGTGTGTGTGTATGCGCACGCACGTGTGTGTGCACCCCAGGCAGACACGCTGGGACAAGTCCAAGGACACCCTTGGGTGTCCTTTGTGGTGGTTGTGAGTGACTGCAGAGCTGGCCCCTGGTCCATGGCGACCACGTGCACAGTGGAGCTGCAGCTCCATGGGTCTGTGTTGGCTGGTGTTGGAAAGTAGATCGCCAGGCCTTTCTTCCGAAGCACTGCCCAAAGCACACAAACTCAGTCACAGAGTCGATGCCGACTCACAGTGACGCTCTAGGGCAGGGTAGAACTGCCCCTGTGGGTTTCTGAGACTGTCACTCTTTGCCGGAGTGGAGAGCCCTTTCTCCTGCGAAGCAGTGCAAAGCCGGTTAGAAATGAGCTCCTCCCCGAGTCTGAGTAAAGCTCTTCGTTGCGTCCGAATCACCTCCTGGAGGAGATGGGGACTGTCCATGTGTGTGTCCTCTGAACCCATCAATGTCCATGTGTCACCCTGTCTCCCTGCAGATGAACACCTCACTCCTGGGAAGCATCGGCATGCTGAATTCGGCCCCTCAGCTGCGCTGTATCAAAACCTACCAGGTGCCCCCAGTGCAGCCCGCCTCCCCCGGCTCCCACAACTCGCTCCGACTGGCCCGCCTCATCTGGACCTCCAACCGCAATGTCATCCTGATGGCCCACGACGGCAAGGAGCACCGCTTCGTGGTCTGAGGCCCCGTTGCCAGCTGCTGCTGGAGCCCCGCCCTGCCCTGCACTGCGTGCACCTGCCCACACGGGCATCACAGGGCAGGCCTGTCCGCAGCACTTCTGCACGGTTCTGGGCAGACCCGACTTGCCACTCATTGACTAGAGCATGCGCACAGTGCCACCAGACGTGGCCGCCCCATCATTGCGTGGTTTTCCCACCCCGTATAGGTGGGGCAAGGCGGTGGTTGGTCCCCATTATTGGGCGCCACAGAAGCCTGGCAATCAGTCAACACTGTGATTGCAATCCCAGCCCAGGTCAGAGGTTTCAGGGACACCCCTCCCCCAAAGCACGCCGGAACTGCCCTCATGACATTGGTTTGGAGGTATGGTGGCCTTCAGAATGACCGAAGTTCTTCTTTAGGTTACCTGAAACATACTGTTGTTTACCAAGAAAGTTCTGTGTTTACATGTTCCTGGTTTTCTTTCTCTCTCTCTCTCTCTCTCTCTCTCTCTCTCGCAGACTCCCTCCCTTCTTTCCCTCCTTCCCTACCTGCCTTTGTCCATCCGTCCACCGATCCATCCATCCTTCTAATGGGGAACAGTGTAATTCCATGTGTTTGCCTTCTTTCTTCCCCTCCAGTGATAGCTAGGAAAATCATCTCATTCCCGAGAGTTGAGCCACAGCTTTCAGAATAGCCAAGTGATTTGAGCCTCATGAGAAAACAGCAAAGAGAAATGCTTGCCCTGCAGAGCATACATTTGTCAGGACAACGCAGCCACCTCACAGGCTCACGTCCTGCACAAGTGGCCATGCATTCGGTGGTCTCACATTCAGGTCCTCACTGCTTATGATCTAGATGTTAACCAGGCAGTGGAACCATCCCTTAAGGAACTAGCTTTTGTCATAAAGAAGTAAGCTTGGAAGCAGATATTTTTGTTTAACTTAGACCCTGCCTGACCCTTTCCTCAGAAGCTTCCCGAAGCTGCAACCCCGTGCGTGTGACAGATGTGCCCATATCACAGAGTCATCACAGGCCAGCCTTCAAGCATCCAGCGGTCAGTTCAAGGACAGCAAAGAAGCCATCTCTTTCAAACAGGTCCCCTAGAAAGTTAATTTCAGGACTGTAGACCCCGAGAGTCAGTAGTGGGACACACATTGCAGCGGGCGTTCCCATTTCCTCCTGGTGGCACATGACGCTGGGTCCTGCTCATCGTCATGGGGAGAGAAAATTGATCACATACTTTGTATGAATTATTCCTAACAAACTTTAATCTGTATGTAATTTGGGGGTTGGCTGGTTAAGTAAAATGGTCTCTTAAAGACAGAAGAAATAATTTCTTACAGTTCAGTGAAGACCAGGCCGGGCCCCCAGAGGAACCCAAACAGAGTGGGGCATTTACTGTAAGAAGGAAGTCAGGGTGTAGGTGATGCACAGACGCCTGGCCGGGCGCCTTCTGCTGTGGACTCCTCTCCTCGGGAAGGCAGTACGCAGTGAGGACCGTAGGAACGCCCCTTTCGTGCTGCTGTGACGTGTGCTGTGCCCTCCAGGGACAGATGTGTGGACCGCCCTTTGTTTTAGACTCTGGGTGTGCTCTCAGAAGTGACTATGCCCCGTGCATGTACATTATATTTATAAAGATGTATGCAGTTTGAAGTGACTATGCCCCGTGCATGTACATTATATTTATAAAGATGTATGCAGTTTCCAGGGACGAAGCGAAGCTCTGTCTCTCGCCAACCTTGTGTGGTAACCATGCTATTGCATTCGGTAGAGACATAGAGATGTGTGGTAACCATGCTATTGCATTCGGTAGAGACATAGAGATGTGTGGTAACCATGCTATTGCATTCGGTAGAGACATAGAAATGTGTGGTACAGTGGAGGTGCATTTTCTTTTTTTGGGGGGGAGGGGACTCCCCAAGTCTTTTCTGTACCCAGCACCCGTTTACTTCACAAGCCTAAATGAGAATTAATTTATTCCTGACTACACAGCTGTTGTGGAGTGATGGGTAGAAGTATACCTTAGAGAGTTTGGGGGGAATTTTTTTTTTTTTTCATTGTATCAGAAAAATGGCGCCCGGGACCAGAGGCAGGGCCCCACACATGCACGTGTGGCCGCCCCGTGGACACGGCAGCAAAGCCGTGTGGCCAGACGAGGGGGTAGCCGGTGGCAGAAGCAGGCCCACCTTACACCCTCTGCTGCATACACAGGTGACTGGCCAATAGGGCACTGTGTTGGTACCACTCTGGGGGGTGGGTAAGCCCCAGCTGTGAGACCGGGCGCCTCTAACTGCCCCACCAACAGTTGCGTTCTTGTTACCACAGACCTCTTTGTGGCTCTTTGGGCAGCCACAGCCCCCGACCTGCCCCAGTGTGGACCGCTCGCACTGACGTGCATGCTCTGTATTGTCCCCCAGTGGAGGCGCTTAGTGTTCTCTTGATTTTGTTGGCACTGTATTTGGACTTGTCCTTGTAAATGGAAAGACCTACGTGGCTTCACGGGTAATTTCCAAGCAAAAGATGGCATGGCGCGGCACGTGTCTGCCAATGTTGTCATGATGGAAGTCACTGTATAGCGAGCGAATTATTAACATGCCTCTCCAGACTTTTCCTGAGGGTTCCTCTGCATAGATTCTCCCCGTCGCCGTGTGTAAAATAAAAACAAATCGTACCGAGATTGTGGTCTTCCCACCTGATTGCTTTTTCTGTTGTTCACTCTTCTCCATCGCTCGGTTGAGCTCCAAAGCGCTCCCTCCCCTCTCGCTGGTGCCCAGCCCTCTCCCTCTGGTTATTCGTTGTCTTAGAGAAAGAAGCTGCCCTCCTGCGCGGCTCACGCTCAGAGAACCTCCCAGAGAGACTGCCTGCCAGACACCCAACAGCCTCTCTGCGACCCAGGCACGGGAATTGTCCCCCGGGCTGCTCCTACAGAGACTGCTAGTTTTATCCTGTCAGACTCGATGGCCCAGGTCACCTGCCCCGGGAGGTGGGTGAGATCAGTCCGTGTGGCTTTTCCTTCCCCGCTGGTTTGGAGTGGATTTGGATCCCTGAGGGAAAGGGGGGAACGGTCTTCAGGAAAAGCAAGAACAACAAAACAGGTCACCTTTGCTCACAGAGGATGTGTGCACGTGGACAGTGTCGTCCTGTTCTTTGCACCTCCAGCTACAGGGACAGCCTGAGTCGAGGCCATCGTTAGGGCTCAGTGTAATGAAGTAGAGGCAGCCGTTGGATGCAGCCCGGGCTGGGGCCCCCTCGGGTGCAGGGAGTCGGTCCAGAGCTGTGGTCACGTCAGGTGATGACTTCAGCGTGTCCTTATAGGGAAACGGGGCAGCCCCCGTTGTGTATGATTGGTGAGCACATAAACGGAGCAAATGTGGAAAGGGCATGACATTAATAGGAAGGTAAAGCCAAGCAGTGCCGGGTGAACTTTCACCTCTCACCCCGTCGGCTGACTGGCGGAGCCGAGCAAGGAAGAAAAATCAATACTTTGGAGCCAGGAGGGAAATATTTCCAACATCTAACTAGAGAATGTATTTTGACAAGGCCAAGATAATCCACGCTGCACAGGAGAAAGAAAAGAAGCCTCATTTTTAAAGCGTGGCACTTCAAGGTGCTTCTGTGATGGCTTAGAGACCGTCAATATACACAAATACCAAAGGTCACACAGAAGCCAGTGGAATTTCAAAAATTAGATGCTTCCTCCTTTGGGCTGTTTACAAACTTGAAGAAAAAAAAAAGATGAAGATTTGTGCTTGTAATTTTCCTTTAAATGAACTCAGCTCACGAGGGTGTATTTGGGGTCATCATTCCTGCTTTTAATCAAGCCTTAACAAGGACATCCTGATAAATGTTGAGGGGTTTTGTGGCTCCTGAATGGTCTTTTGAGTGATTGTATCGCATGGGCTAAGAGCTCTGCGTTTTGTTTGGGGACTCACGTTTCTCCTGCCATGGTGGCATCGTAAATCACAGCCCCTCCTTTCCGTGTAGTGCACTTCTTTGCCTCAGAGCCTCAGTCCTGTATCTTTGGAACTCGGATGGCTTCTAGTTTCCATAGCCCCTGTAAGCAAATTACTTATGAGAGTAGTCTAATTAGTGCCCTTCTATGCGAAAGGCTTAAGCAGTGCGCTCCATCCTCGCCAGCAAGATTAGATCCATTCATTCTGCAGACAGATGCTCCCATCAAGCAGGTATGGATTATTTTCGTTCCCACCGATAAGACAGCCAAGAAGTCGAACAGTGCCCAACCTTCCCGCCAAGCCAGAGGACAAAGGGATCCGGAGTGCTCTGCGGATCGAAAGCCCCCAACTCGAGTGCTTGCTCATGGTCACCAGTAAGCTGGCTCTAAACAGCCATGCGACTGGGATTATTAAAACGAGAGGGAAAAGAATACATCCTCAAGTTGTATACCCTCTTATTTTGGGAGGGCGCTGGTTGGGGAGGGAAGTAGATCTGTTGGAGAGTTTAAGTCTCTTTTCATCTCAATAGGAAATCGGGCCGTCGAGACGCCAGGCTGTGCTCTGAGATGCCCCAGGGAAGACCAGGAGTTTAGTACACCCCTGGTTTGTAAGAGGTGGCCAGTCTATTGTGTGCGGCCGTTCCGTCCAGGAGATTGTGAATGTATATGCTTGGGAGACTGGCACATGGTTAACAGGCAGTGTGGTAGGCAGCACCTGCAGTGCCTCTGTTCCTTGGAAAACATTGTGGGTTGTTTTGCCTTCTCGCTGGACCCCAGTGATACGGATGGACAGCGTATCCAGTGGAGACCCTTATGGTTCGAGCGAGCTCCAACAGCCTGTTTGCCATGTTGCTGGTCCTTGCCATCTTGATTCTTCTGCAAAAGTTGTAGACATTGGGGAAATGGCCAAATATATGCCGATGGATGGGACTGGCTTTTGAAATTCTGACTCCTCCTTATGAGAGGGAGTAAATGAGTGGAAGTCCTTTCCTGCTGCTGATGCTGAGCCCCTTTGCGATCTTGCCGAGAGAACACAGTGGAAGAGTAGGGGCTCCACAGACAGGGGGCAGGAGCAACGAGAATGTGGGCTGATGAATGCGGCCGGGCTCATGTCCTAGTAGGCTTCGCAGAGCCTCGGCATTTGCCCCTGGCCTTGAGGAGTAAACACATTAACGAGGAGGACAGAGAGGCTGTTGTAAGGTGGGACTTGGTGGAATCTCACATTTTTACATGATCTGAATGGCTGTCGAGACGGCAGACTGACAGCCTCAGGGCCTGGCGAAGGCCCTCTCGACCACCCAGATGCTGCCTTTGGGCTTGAAGCTTCTCAGGGCAAGGCAGAAAGACGACTGTGCCGAAGGACGTGTAAGCTCTATCAGGCAAGAGACCGAAGACGTCTCTCGCCAGGCTTTCACTAGTCTTTCAGGCTTGTTTTCTTAAAAGCTCTTTTTGCTTTCAAAATAAGTGAGGCACACTCTATGCCCTGAATCTAGTGTCTAGCCAGCAGGGTCCGTCAGATGCCCACCCCAGTGCGCTGCCCAGCACGCGAAGATGGAGGCATTTATTCCCTCCACCTACTGGGCAGCCTGCTGTCTGACATCGCCTGGTAGGAGATTGCTTCAGAGCAAACGGGAGAGCTGTGTTGCCCCAGGCCCTGACCCCTGTGCTGACCCCAACCATATCAAGTGAAGGAGGAGCAGGGTAAAAGCCCATCCACGGCTTCATTTCCAAACACCCTTGCAGGCCCTCAAAGCTCTAGAGCCTCCCTCCCATCCCCCCTGCCCCGACCCCATGGGAGCAGCCGAAGCCTGCATTGCAGCTGCATTGCTGTGAACGCCTCCCTCTGCCCCATGCTCACTGCCTGACTCCCTGCAGAGGGTCTGCTACTCCTAAGAACGAACTCAAACCAAGCACACTGCCACCCAGTTGGTTTCTGTCCCCCTGTGACTCTAGAGGACAGAGTAGAAGTGCCCCACGGGGTCTCCAAGGCTTTAAGTCTTCATAGGAGCTGATGGCCCCGTTTTGTCCCATGGAATTCTGGTGGTTTGCAACCAAGGACCATTCAGTTAGCAGCCGAGTGCTTTAACCACATTGCCACCAGGTTTCCTTGATCCTGACAGCACTATGTAATCTTCCTACATGCAGCGCACTTTCATAGACTGCCCCCCGGGGAGCCCAACCTCTGACCTTGGGGACCAGGAGCGAGCCCAGAAAAGCAGATTCTAACAAGCAGAGGGAACTCGGTCTCCCGCTGACCACGGGCAGCAGGCATCCCATCGTGGTGGCAGGTTCAGGGCCAGCAGGAGGGGTGTGACTGTGACAAATGGCATTGACAGGCAGGTGGAAGGGAGGCACTGGAGAGTAAGTGCACTGTAGCAGGCCGACACAAAGCAAGGGACCATGGGAAGCAGAAGGACAATGGGATTGCATGGCTGTGACTGAGTCCCCTGGAAAAAGACAATGAAAAGCGGAAGATGATTAATCACCCATTAAAGGCTAGCTCTGAAAGCCAGAGAGACTTCTTGGCAGCATCTAACGAAAGCCTCATCTCCTGCCCCTGAAACCACGTTGAGCACTGAACGGAGGACTTAATTATAACAGAGGGAGAGGTCCAGGGGACCTTGAACTCAGCCTCTGCAGGCTGCTGCACTTATCCTCTAAAAGGCTAAAGGGGAAGGGATAGGACTCAGGTCAGTGAACTCCACCTGGAATCCCCAGATCCTGTGACCCGCTCTGAGCCTGTGTAAGGACCAACTTGCCCCTCTTGAAAGTGAGTACGTCCCCTTCTCTTGGGGGCGTGACCATGGCCACTCTCCAGCAGAACAATGCATTCTCTCGTCACCCGCTCCCCTCATCTGCCCAGTTCAGTAGGATTAAGTCCCAATATAACCTGGCAGCCAACGTGCCAAGCCTGCCGTTAGGAAATGACTCCATCCAGGAAAGATGTTAGACCTAGCTAACGTGGACCCACAGGCACTGGGACAGTTAGAGGGCTGAATCTTAAGGGTGCTCGGTCCGAGAGCGACTGTATGAACATAGACCACGGAGAGCTCCTTGATATGGGATTCAACACCCAAGCAAGGGCCCAGGGAGAAGGCTGCCAGCAAGGAGCTCACCTCGGAGAGAATGAGGTTCACGCTCAGGTCAAAGGCCAAGCAGAGTTGCCATGTCGGATGGTAGAAGACGCAGCAGCCCAGAGTGACAGCTGGAGTAGCTGCCCTATGTACGGCCTGGAAATCCACCAGATGACTGGAGAAAGGCGGGATGGTAGCATCTGGTCCCCAAACCCAAATGAAGGTGGCATCCTCATCGTAGGCCAGGGTGAGGATAAGAGAGACTGTCCCAGAAGGGGGCTCCTGGGAATGATGGGGTGATAGGACCCTGGAGTGGTAGGTCCATTTATCATAATGAGCAGCAAGGTTGGCGTGGTCGCCAGAGGGGGCCTGACTTGTCGAGATCTCTTTGGTGATGATAAATAACACCTGCCATCCCTTGAGGCAAGATCAGAGGGCCAACAATCTATACAACCAGAAGAAACTCAGGATGGATGGTGAGAGGCTGGCAGCAGCTACCCCAATAACTAAGCAAAACCGCTCAGCTGACTGGTAGGCGGGAAGGGCCCAGTTAGCAGGAGGAGCTCGGGGACACCCGTGGATAAGGGTCTGCACCCGCTCCCTAGCGAGCAGCTAGAACCAATGTTAGCAGAGGCTCCTGCCAAGAAAGAG